GCTTTACGGGCCTCTAGGGGCAGCGCGCTGGCCTAGGGCAGTAGGAGGCAGCGCTTGTGCAGCACGTCACAAGGCAAGGCAAGGCAGGCAGGTACGTGGGGTAGCGCGGTAACCGCAGCGGTAGGTGGGCCCGAAAAAAAAAACGGTCCTACGGACCTTAGTGCTCTGAAACCATGTCAGAATCTAGCAGCAGGAATGGCTGAACTAACAGGATGCAGGAGTACAAGTAGTAAACCCTAATTGGGTTGTACCCCATATGGGCTACCCCACTACAGCCTAGACAATATGCAGCACATATAGTTTGACATAAACACCACACCTCCCATACGCCCCGATCGCCCCTCTCACTGCTCTGCTCTCCCATCCTGGCAGGTGTGTGCTTCAAGGCGTGCGAGAGGGAGCTACCGTTGTTTCTCCACACCATGGACACCAACCACGGCAACATGAGCTTCCATAAGTCGCTCGCGCTCATGCTCTAGTCAACTGACTGGCGGGGAGCCTACCCGAACCTTGTGCAGCTGTGGCAGGCCGTAGCTGTGCTTCCCCTCAGCACGGTGGAGTGCGAGCGCGGCTTCAGTCGCCAGAACCGTATCAAGACGTGGAAGCGGACCTGCCTGGGAGACGCCCGACTGGGCGATCTGATGACTGCAGCTCTCCTGCCCAGCGATGGTCTGAACTGGGTGAATGTGGTAGACGTGTTCAATGCCAGCAAGAAGCGCCGTCCGGGCCAGGAGTTTCTGTATTGAGTTGGTATGGTATTCTGCTCCACCATGTAGTCGTGCTGCTGTTATTGTTCTAGTTGTAGGCTTGTAGATGTAGTTCTTTGTTACAACAATACATGATGGTAAGTAAACATATAATGGTACAAGTAATCGAGGTGCACAGCACACTGACGAGCAAGAGTAACACTGCAGCCAACATTGATAAACAAGACTGAGGTGGATGCCCCACCCTTACTGAAAGACCAGCTTTGGCAAACTGCCCTTTCGACCAAGAGTGCTTCCAAACCTATCCAGAGGCCAGTTCGACACTAAACACTGTGTATGGGCTAGTGACGGGCGTAAGGAGCTAGAGGTTGGCGGCAGGCTGGCTAGGACGGCCAACGGGACGGCGGGCTAGGTTCCTAGGAACGTCCTAACGATGATACTACTAGAATGTAACTGAAGAATGAGAATGATGAAGAGTGAGACACAAGTACAGTACGAGGAACCCTAAAAGTGTTGTACCTTGTAGAGGGCACCTCAACGTAGCTTACTAACAAATACATAATCTGACATTTAACACTACAGTACCTTGCTTATCATTGGCAAGTGCTTATCTAGTCAAACTACCATATTGCCTGTCATTACGGTGCTCTTACTTCGATGGAAATGAAACACAAAATCCACAAAAACTAGCCAGCAATCACACATACGGTACTGTATCCACCATTAACCGTAGCAAGTGCTTAAGGAACTAGATTGTGAAAGCAGGGCAACCACGTTCCTTCACACTAAAGACTTGGAGCACTTCTCGACAATGGATGGACCAACCTCATCATACTCTGTCTTGGAAATCCGTGTCTGCATCAGCAAAAGGTAAGTCAGCTCAAAGAACCAAGAAAGGCATAAGACAATAGAAAATGCAGATGAGGCATACCTTCTGGGAGGTGTCTAAAGTCATATAAATGGATCCACCAATCCAAGCACTGCTCTTCCGTTCAGGTGGAGCAATTACCTTGACCTTCATGCTGTGAGCACGCTCAGTAACTTCCTTGGTCATGCGATCAGCAAATCCAGGGAACAGCGTAGAACCACCGCTGAGGATAATGTTAGAATACATGTCCTTCCTCATATCGACGTCACAGAACAGGATGGAGTTGGAGCACAACTCATGGACACCTAAGTCTTCCTTGCCAGCCACCACTGGGTTGAAGAGCACTTCTGGGCACCTAAATCGCTCATTGCCAAGGGTAACAACCTGGCCATCAGGAAGCTCATACACCTTCTCCACCTGCGTAGGCATACTTGCCGAAGTAGCCATCTCTGCCCCAAAGTCAGAAGCAACGTAAGCGAGATTCTCCTTGATGTCCCTCACAATTTCCAGATCGGCAGTTGTGGTAAAGCAGTAACCCCTTTCTTTCAAGATCACAGCCAGGTAGTTGGTCAAATCACAACCGGCAAGATTCACACTGCGAATCGCTTGCTGTACAGCTCCGCCCTCGTAGATGGGGACAGCGTGGGTCACACCATAACCGGAGTCCAGAACAATACCTGAACCCAAAGAGGAGATTAGCAGCAGGAGAAACACCAAGCAAATGCAGCTGCGCGGAGAAACAAGCAAGAACTTACCAGTGGTACGACCGCTGGCAAACAGGGAGAGCACGGCCTGAATGACTAAATTCATCGCCGGCACGCTGAAAGTCTCAAACATAATCTGGGTCATCCTCTCGCGATTCGCCTTGGGATTCAGAGGAGGTTCAGTCAAAAGCACCGGACGCTCCTCTGGAGTGACACGAAGCTCATTGTAGAAGGTATAGTTCCAAACCTTTTCCATGTCATCCCAGTCCCTCACAATACCTGAAAAGTCAAAACGCAAGTAGGTCATCAGCAGGCAGAAACAAAACTTAGTGCGGATTTCATTCAGAGGCAAATTCAAACTAACCGTGCTCAATAGGATACTTCAGCGTCAAAGTGTCACGCTTGGACAGGGCTTCAACACCAACGTAAGCACCCTCAGAAGAACGACCAACAACGTTGGGAAACACGGCACGCGGCGCATCATCTCCAACGAATCCGGCCTGGAAAATGAGGCCCACAGTGCATTAGAAGGAAATCACGAGCATGATTAGTCGAAAATCATGCCAATAACTCACCTTCACCGAACTGGATCCGTTGTCGATCACAAGAGCCTGAATGTCGTCCATGTTGAACAATCTTCACTGTGGAAGGACATTACCCAAAAAGAAGCATGAAGAAAGAAAGCATGAAACTACCTAATGCAGTTTAGAGTGATGTACTTGACTGAGAGATAATGACCAGAGAAAGTAGAAACCTTTATTGCCCTTCAACGGACACCTCTCACCAGATCGTCTGGTGAATGATTGGGGAATGACCGCGCTATGAGTGCCTAATGTAATGAAGGCGGAAATAAAAAGAGCCACCTTTTCTCCTGCACTTCATGGGATATCAACAGCACAAACCTCCTTGCCAAGGGGCAACAACCCAAGAACTATTTTGGGAGAGCACCGCGGATTTTGCAATGCGGGGGATCACAATTGTCCAAAAAACATTCATCTTGACTGTTGACTGTTTAGACGTCAAGAGCCAAGCCACTTCTATGGGTACAGCGCACACCTCTTGCTGTTGACCACTGACTTACCAAACCCTTTCCTGACGAGCCGTTCGAGCCTAATGATCCTTATGCTGAGCTTGTGGGCTGTCTCATGTACCTGATGACTTGTACTCGCCCGGACCTCTCCTTCCTTTTCAGCATTCTTTGCTCTCTTTGTTGCGCTAGGGAGACACCGTCCTGTTCACTGGACAGCTGCTGTGAGGGTGGCGAAGTACCTAGCGACGACATCAGGCGTGGGGCTGGTTCTTGGAGGGAGACAGGACGTCGTGCTTACTGGTCACTGTGACTCTTCTTACGCTAACGACGCCAAGACGCACAGGTCTACTCAGGGGTACTGTTTCAGCCTGGGTTCTGGAGCTGTTTCGTGGAGGTCCACACGTTCCTCCTCGGTCTCGACCTCTACTGCTGAGGCTGAGATCTACGCTGGAGCCATGGCTGCACAGGAGCAGCGCAAGGCGTCGATTCTCCTCTGTCGAGAGCCGCGACTGGAGAGCAGAGTGAAGCACATTAAAATCAGGTACTTTCTTCTTCGAGAGTTGCAGAGGCGTGGACAGGCTCGCTTCGACTTTGTTGAGTCCAAGGTCAACACTGCAGACAAATTCACCAAGGCCCTTCCGCCTTGTGACCACCAGAGGTGTTGTGTGCAGTTAGGTCTTGTTGACACAGGTTCTCGCCTTGCATAGTCTTGAGTTATCTCCTTGCTTTTTTTGTACACTTTACATATACCTCTGTGAAGTCTTGAACTAGCCTTGTGGCTCTTTTGCTTCTGCTCGGAGCGTGTGGAGACGTTGTGATCCACTCTGAGCTTTGTAGCTTTGTGACTGGTCTTGTGACCGTACACTTTTGGTTTTGCTTGACACCCCTCACTTAGACTATGGGGGTGTGTCAAATGTTGTAGTATCAACACTGCTCCGAACTCAGTTGAATGGTCAAACAGGTCAAGTCGAGCTACGGCCAGGAGTGAAGGGGGGTGTTACGAATAGTAATGAATGAAGCATTAATATGCACTCCTAACCGCAACAAATCGAAGCACACAGTACCGAGGCTGAATGCGAAAGGGCGGAAGTGACTCGAAAGGACGTACGGTTACGAGAAGATCTGGACCGTCGGGCAGGTAACATCAGGCAGTTTCGTAACCGCCTGGAGTCGCACGGTTGAGTTTCGCTGTAATAAGGGAATGTACCCCTTAGAGTACATGGCCAGCTAGGTCATTTCAAATTCCCCTGTACTCATATTTATATTCTCTGTATTTGCATGTTCTAATCATCTCAAGCATTTTACATTCACTCTGCTATTGAGGTCAAGGGCCCACCACCACTACTCAAAGGTGTGCGGACCTTCTCGAGGTGATCCTAGGGTCGATCATTCTCTGATCGTAACATGGTATGAGAGCGACTCGGGAATCCTTCGCACTACCACCTCCGAAATCTTCGACGAACGGGAAGTGGCGTCCGGCACACGCTCGTGTGTGACAATGGCCGGAGGATCTGGTAATCAGACGAATCTGACGGCTTAAGCGCAGCCCAACCTGGCTGCGACGAGCGAGGAAACGATGACGATTGGAACCGCTGTCCTCGCACAACACTACGGTAATTACATTCACAATCATTGTCGGAAACATTCGAGACACAAACTAATTCACAGACCAGATTAGTTAGGTACTTCTCATGGCGACAACGTCAGGTAGTTCCCATCACGACGACGCCGTGATCAACATGCAAACCGTCTCGACCTTCCGAGAAGCTTCGTCAGTCACCGTGGTGCTTCTACCGCCACGCCTGCCGGACCCGCTGAAATCACCACCGCACGCAGAGGCTGTAGACGAACAGGAGCGGGCCCGCCGCGGTCCCGAGAGCAAGGAGCGCACCGCGGAGTGTTCAGTGAGCATCCCGGCGGCTCGAGAGCCCACACCCGCCGCGGCCCGCGCCGCTGCTGCGGGCGACCCCGCCTATTGCTATCCGCAGCGCGACTCGGCATGGGCCGCGGCCCTCGCGGCGTGCATCGCGCTGCTGATCGTCCACGAGCTCATCTCGCCGCTCTTCGCGCTCCAATGGCCGTTCCTCTTCTCCCTCGCCTTCTTCCTCCTTTGCGCCGTCTCCGCGTTCGTCCTCTCCCTGTCCCCTTCCTGCTTCGCGCTCCGTCGACTTTCCAGTAACTTCACCCCTTGCGCCGTGAATGTGGCATGCATCCTCAGCAGCATCATACTTTTCGGCTGTTGGGGGGTTGGAGTATCCTACATGTTCTTTACATATGACCCTGCGCCGATCGCATACCTAATTTACTCCGCTGAGTCGGCCGTATGCATATTACTGCTGCTTCTCACCATCCTCCCCTTTCTCACCTTACATCAGCACCTCGATACTGTCACATCCATTATCGGTCGTGCTATTGGGCTGGCGCTTTCATTCGATACTAACGTCCTCACTACAATCGCATTGCAAGGGGTGCTATCCATCGTGATTCTCACACCCATCATGCAAGCGAGCTCTGACTTTATCAGCTGCGTTAGCATGTTACGTGGATGGCAGGCTGGTTACACCAACCCGTTACGCCTCAATCTTCTCCATCGTCATGGTTTTCATCGCCATCTGGATTGTGCTCACTGTAGTCACATCCACTCTATTGACCATCGCAACACGGTTTGGGATAGTGTGCGCTGCTGCTGACGTATCTATGGGCAGTGGCAACGGCAGCGGGGATGATGGTGCAACATTTATTGCTCCTCATGGTGCTGATCCTGCCAATGGTGCTGTTGGTGCTGATGGTGTTTCTTCCGATGGTGCTGGTGCTGCCGATGGTGATGGTGCTGCCAATGGTGCTGGTGTTGTTTCAACTGACTCTGACGGTGCTGGGAAGCAGCATGGGCTCTAGCAGAGGATATTGCACGTGGCCAAGCATGACAGGTGCGTGTGTGAGTGTGTGCATGAGTTTGTGAGTGCGTGAGAGAGAGTGGAAGATAGTCTGTGTGTGCACGTGTGTATTCCTCAATTAATCTCGCTCCAATTAGGTATTTCATCACCTTTATTTTTTTCCTTTCCTCCACCGTTCCTGCACAGTGAGGTCATGTGTTCATCGATCGGTACTGCCTGTGCCATCAGCTGTGTTGGCACCGCAACTCTCATCCTTGCTGCGTTTGCCAGCATGTCAGCATACAACTCTCTAAGTGCAGGCATTGCTGCTGCACTGGCCTCGGGTCTGGTTGCCTGGATTGAGGCTCTTGCCTTGTGCTTCCTCTACTGGTGCGTGCCATGGCTGCATGTTGATGGTGCATGCCATCTATGCATGTTGATAATGCATGCCATCTATGCATGTTGATGGTGCATGCCATCTATGCATGTTGATGGTGCATGCCACACATGCTATGCAATTGGCGGTTCCAATGCTAGTGACAGATTATAATACCGCTACTCCATTCAACCTCACACATGTCTCCTCTTGCCCTGCCTGAATGGCTTCGCATTGTTGTCCCACCATGCCCAACTCCTCCCACCCTGCCTTCTCCCCTCATCCCTCGAGCACCCCTCAATCCATCTAGTCTTCACCATTCTTTCCGTGCAAATCCCCACCTCGTTGTGCCACTCCCATCCGCCGCAGTCTGGTTCTCCCCATCAGTGCTACCGCCAGGCTCAGCTTCCTACCCTCTTTACACATCACCCTCTGAGCCCTCTCACAAGCATTCCCAACCTTCCTGCCCCTCCTGGCTATGTCACTCATGCTGCTGCTTCCAGTATCCGTACTAACGATTCTGGTGGTCGGCTACGGTGGGGTAAGCTTTTGCAAAGCCGCAACCAATGATCGCGCCTTGTGTTTTCTTGCTTGTTATGCTGCTGTGATGCTAGTTCTTGTGATACCAATTATAATATTTCCGTTTTCCCACGATCCCCCATTGCAGTCAGCTTTGGTGTTTGTGGCTGTCTGTGTTATTGCCCCTCTGCTCCCATACATATGGGGACCGTGGAGCTTAATTGCGATGTTTGTAGTGGCAGTAATATTCTGCTTTGTCACTGGGGTGTTCTCTGCCATTGGGCTAAGCCTTGTACTCATTACTGGTGCCTCCACTGTGTTTTCTTGGGATCTTAGCTCCCATGCGCAAACACTCGCGAGTGGACAAAGTGAGTTTCAGGCTTGCTTGATGCCCTGACCACAAATATTGGTAGCCATATGTTCATAAGCAAGGTTGTGGTATAGTCGTGATGGTGCATGGCTCAAACCAGGCTTCATGCTAGTACCGGTATGGACACTGGTTCTAACATGGAAAGTCCGCGCCTCACCTCACCAATTATAGTTGGTCAAAAAACAACTGGTATTTGTCAGTGGTTGCGAAAAGGAACGAAAAGGGGTACCTAGAGAAGAAGAGAAGTCACCAGGAATAGCAGACTGCGAGCCACTCTCCCCCACCACTCATGCATTGCAGATCACTTGTATTGGCACCTTGCATAATATAAATATGAATGGGCTATTGACGAACAACCCCAAAACTGGTGTGAACGCGTTTGGGGTGTAATGTGTGTGGGATCACGGACCAATGGGTTTATTCTTCGCTTTTTTTTGCTGGACCAATTATGGATTCCGAAGCTAGCACGAGGCGTATTGATGTACAGAATGGGGTTGGAGACCTCAAGCCACAATGTTTAAGTTCCGATGGAGTTGATAAATTCGACCCTCGTCCCCTTCCGAAGCAGCCAGTATTGGTTCCTAAAAAATACCCACGGCACATACCAATTCGAGTGATCTCATTGGTTCCTTACGCACACTGCATTTTTCATGTGTGTGTGCTATGGCGAATTATAAGGCGCACCATGTGTGCTTGAGTCAGAGTGATGGTGCGCGCTGCTCTGTCCCGGGTGATCTACAACCCAAGATAGCTCTGCAGCTTACCCAAGTCAGTACAGGTGTGTCTCTTCTGCCGCTCGGCCTTCACACGACCAGTGCCTCAGTGTCAACAGTCGCAAAGACGAAGTCGTTGACGTACAGGAGGATGTAGAATGGTGACAGAGAAGGGTTGGTTCGTAGAAACAGCAACGGATCAACAGTAGAAGGAGCAAAGCCAAAAGCTGCAAATGTCATCCTCGATGTGTTGCGCCACTCATGGGGCGCCTGATGAAGATCGTAGACTGGCCTCCGGAGGTTCCATTGGGTACCCTCAGGAAACGACCCAGTGAAGCCAGGTGGGAGGCGTAGCCAGATCTCCTTGTAAAGATTGCCCTGTCCTACCTCTAGCCTCCAGTACCGCCAACTCTAGCACCTCTAGCTCCTGTACCTGCAGCACCAGAACCTCTAGCACCTCCAGTGGCAGTACCTCCAGCACTAGAACCTCTAGTACTGCCAACTCCAGCACCTTCATCTCCAGTACCTGCAGCACCAGAACCTCCAGCACCTCCAGCGGCAGCACCTCCAGCACTAGAACCTCAAACAATGACCCAAAGTTCACAAGTAAGTTCTTGAGGGAACTCATGGGGTTGTTGGGAACAAAGCTTGTGATGTCTTCAGCTTACCACCCTCATAATGACGGACAGACAGAGCGTCTCAATTAGGTGGTTGATGAATTACTATGCACAGCTTGCAAAGACGACATCAGCCACTGGTATCTACAGTTACTGACGCTTGACTTCGCTTACAACAACACTTCACGCGTGGCCACAGGGAAATCTCCTTTCTTCCTGTGCTACGGACGGGAACCACTTACACCACAGCAGCCAACCACACTGGCACACGTCCAAGCCGCACACGACTTCGTCACCAACATGCAGCAGCTATGGGAGAAGAATCGGCGATGTCTCACCACGATGCAGAACTCCCAAAAGCAATATGCTAAACTACAGCGATGAGATCACTCAGTAGCAGTTTGAGATCATGTGCTTTTTGACACATGCAACTTGGACTTGTCTCATCTTCTGTCCAAGCGCCAACCTCGCTTTTGTGGTCCCTTTCCCGTCAAAATGATGGTGACTTCAGTAACATTCCGCTTGCGCTTACCTTCTACGTGGAAGCTTCACAATGCTTTCCATGTTCAGCTACTAAAACCCTACAAGGACCCCAACCAACAGTTCCAGGGACGACAACCACCGCCACCACCACCTATTCTCGTACAAGATTAACCCGAGTACGAGGTGGAACGTATTCTTACTCATCGACGCCGACACGACGCGACGCTTAAGTTCCTGATACGCTAGAATGGATTCCTCCTTGTCGGAGGACACCAGGATTGCAGAAGCTGATATGGGCAATGTCTACTGTGCTCTCAAGGATTATCTTGTCAAGCAGGGTGTATCTCATGCCACCCAGCTTTGAGGGGGGGACATGTGAGAGTACGACAGCTCTGCCTACATGAACTTACGTAAATTTACTTTGTCATGCATTATCTTGGATTGCTTTATTTTGCTTCTTAACCTTGATTTCTTAGAGTTGTTGCTTGAACTATATTTATAACGGTTGCATGCACCGAATGGTTAGTGTGCACCAAATTCTATGCTTTTTTATTGCCACCAGATTGATTTCTACCAAATTCGAGAAGGACCCATTCGGGACGCTTCGCTACGTGCGAAACCTTCTAGTAAACCCAGGTCACTGCCTTTGTGTCGAGCCTATAATAGTCTTATATGGTAGCCAGGTGATCATATTATATTTTATGAACCTCGAGACTCACATAGCACCTCTAATGCAAGTACCTCTAGCTCCAGCAACCCCAGAATGAGCACCTCCATTGTCAGTACCTCAAGATCCAGTACCGCAGAACCAGCACCTCTAGCATCCATGTCTGCAGCACCAACACCATCAGAACCATCACCTCCAGCACTCGTGCCTCTAGCACCAACAACCCCAGAGTCCACTGCAACCTGTCGCAATTGTGCCGAAAACTTTTGTAGTGACTGGGAGGACGGTTGTAGGGAACGAGACGACACCTAACGTGCTACTGAGGGGAGAGGGATAGCGTGAGACACACTTGATGGGGCAGGACCTGGGTGGGAGGGGTGTACCGGAGGAGCAAGACTAGAAGGAGGAGTGAGAGCTAGGAAGAGGGAAGGGGGGGAGCTGGGAGAACTCGTTGAAGGTAGCAGACGTAGTAGGACACTGACTTATTAAAGCGGACGTCACGGGAGTCATGGAATTGGTGGAAGGGCGGGTGGTAAAACTCGAAGTTAGAGGAGTCCACCTGGAAACCAAGAAAGACACAGGAGAGGGTGCGAGCCAAAAGTTTGTCCGCAGAGGTGTCGCGGACAAACGCAAGGCAGCCCAAGACATGGAACTCTGACACAACACCAGGGAACCCGGTCCAAAGATTGGTTAGTTAAGCCTTTGGTCATGAGACACCATGCCAGAGGTTTAGCTAGTGGGTGGTGGAGTGAACCGCGTAGGGCCACAGAAAATGGGGCGCACGGGCATGGATCATGGAGGTGCAGACTATCGTTATATATATAGTTATAAGAGCCTATAGTCTAGTTTTAGTATAGTTATACAAACCCTGTTGGTGGTGCACCTCTTGTTTCATGTTTCTCGCCTATATATTGTACCCTCATTTTCATAGTGAACCCTTTTAGGCTAATATCTCTCATTATCCTCTTGTCACTCTTCTTCTACTCAAAACTTAGTGCCTCCACAATAAACTACTATTGCAACACGGATTATCTCCATGAACAAGCCTATGCGGCGCTCAAGAACCCCATTC